TAAGATCACTTGCAAAAAACTGAAATTTCATCCCAAAAGATTAACTTATTATATAGAATAACCCAGTCCACTTAAAACCCATTAACTAATTGAGTTTTTGCAAGGAGAAAAATGCAAGTTTGCTAGTAGGGCCCACCTCTCTTAATTCTAAGCATGCATCATTTTGTATTTAACAGGGATGTCTTTTCTTTCACATTCATCTAATAATTTCGAAATGTTTTCTCACTTACAATCCAATGCAATTACAAATGAGATTGTGGTCACTTTCAAATTCTTCATAGTTTTCATCTGGCTTTGATTTTGGTTCCATTTTGACTACTTTGAGGTGATGCTTTAGTCAAGCAAGTAGTTCTTTTGTATACAGCTTATGTGCCCCTAAATGTGTTGTGGGCCTAACATGCTTGATTTTTTCCTTTTGTATTCTTACCATTGTTGATGTCCTCAAATTTACTTTTTCACATTTTTTTCGTCGAAAAGTTTTAATAATTTAGGGAAGAAAAAGTCAATCGTTGACAAAGGAGGATGATAGAGAAGAGAGGCAATGATAGGCCTAGAAGCTCAACAAAGATGATATGAGCAAGCTCAAGTAGTTGAGAAAATTGTAGAGTGAGAACCTCATTTTGAGAGATGATCTAAAGAGGTTCGTACTCATACAAAAACGACCAATGACATGTTTGAGGTCAAAAGTTTGACAATGTCTTAGTGAAGTTCAAAGTAGATTGATTTAGTATCCTATAATTCGTGGAGCTTAGCCCCAACCTAGAGATAAACTAGGAATCATAGAGTCAAAAGTTGGCTAAGCACGATATGCTCTAGCAATTAGCTCGGTAAAGTTACATGGCAATTTTTTACACGACAAGACTCATCCACAAGTTCACCAAAAATAGAAGACGAAGTGGACCAATTTCCAATGTCTTATATTATCTCCACCTTTACATCGATTCACAAATCCCGCCACAAGATTTGATGTTCCCATCTAAACATAAATTCAATTAGTAATTACCAAATGAAAGAGAAATTTCTGTATTCATGATCAAAGTTGAGACTGAGATCTATGTATCTCTTAATCAGTCATAGCACGTGTGTTGTTGAATGGTATAAAATACAAATAAAAATAAAAAATAAAATCAATGAGAAAAAGTGAAAATCACTCGAGGCAGCATGCATGCAACTTGTCGAAGGGGCCTTTCTCAAAGAGAATGACGTTGTGTGTATTGGCCCCACTTACACGTGGGCTGGTTCCCTAGTTTGAAAATAAGGATGACGTCAAAAATAAAGTGAGCTAATTTAATTTTAAAATTGGAGTTGATATAGATTACTGATTTCACTTGTCATGATGACATTTCTTATTTGTTTTCTTTGAATTGATTAAACTTCAATTTTAACTATACATTTTACAGGATTCATAATTTTTATCAATTTTTCAATTACACATTTCATTAATATTTATCAAAATCCACTAAAAAAGTTTCAAGAGTGGCCAAACAACCCCTAAGATTTGATTAGTCTGTCCTTTAAAATAAAAGTTGAGTACCATGTTTGAAAAAGATCAAGCATTTGAAAATTTTTAATCTACTTCGTACATTGGATAATATTAGACAAAGAGCATATATTGCAATGGAGATTTCCATTCAACTTATGATCAATGATTAAGTCTTTTATAATCGATATTAAAATTGTTTAAGATTCTCATTTTTGTTTCTAGATTTAGAGAATGCATGTTAAATTTGAAAAAATAATGTTATTTGTACATAATGATAACATGGAAGAGACGGACACAGACAAAAAAAGAAATTCAGTTATTATAATTTTTTCTTTCTACCATGTCATCATTATGTACACTATTATGTACATTATAATGTACAACTAAGTAAAAAAAACTAACATTTTGTTCTAGTTGATAAGTTATTGTTGGAATTGAACCGGGTTCAATTGGCTGCTTCCAAATTTGGTAAAATCGTGTTTTGGCAAATGCAACTCTTTTATTCCAGCTTATCACTGGATGTGTGACACATGGTCGGGATGTGGCCATTGGATTTACTTCTGGATGGTTCCTTTAGTTAATGCCATTTCATTTGGCATTATCTCGAAGGGTCATTATTCTAGGGTTTCATTCATCTTCATGCTTTCTCTTTGATTGCGCTATTTTCGAATACTTCTCTGATTTCTCTCTGTAAATCAAATCCCTGATTTGAGTTTGTATTGTGTAAGAGGGTGATTCCTTTGTGAAGATATTCGGAGTGAATATCTGTTTATAGTGTTCGTGTGGCTGTGTAGTTGTTCATATTGATTTAGTGTTCGATTCTTTGTGATTCGAGTGGATCGGCTGCTGTATAAGTGAGAGATAAGTGTTCTTGTACTTTCTTTGTGATTGTTCTGAACATTCTTATAACCTTTGTTGCCGATTTGAGCTTTATAGTGGAACCGAACGTAATCCATAATATTGGATATTCAACGGGGGATGTAGGTGTTGGA